GGAGAGGCAGCCTACTGGACATAAGATCAGATAAAGGCGTTTCACACCACTCACTATCTAGTGCAAGGAACCTACCTTCAAAATCAAGTTCAAAGCCTTCATTGAAGTTGTGATAGACAGTAATTCAAGTTCAACCCCGAGAACAGAAACTGAACCGGAAGACATATTCACGTCAGCTATCAGAAAAAAATGTGAGACATTCAGCAACATCTCTGAGGATACCTGTGTGGAAGAACACTGGAACTCTATGAAATAGATGTGGGAGGAAATCTGCATAACCGTGTTAGGAAGGATGAAGAAATAAGAACAGGAATGGATCGCCACGGATACATGGAGAATGAAAGAGGAGGTAGAGGAAGGTGATGAAGCAGAAGATGAACAAGTGCAGTTCAGTGTAGGAATGAACAAAGAAAAGAGGAACTGAACACAACCTATAAAACACTACACTAGACAAAGAAGTGAAGAGGAGTGCGCACAAAACCCAAATACACTTCTACGACATACTTGCAAGTGAAGCAGAACAAACTGCAGGTAGGAGAGACCTGACAACATTATATCAAATAGCAGGTTACTATATGAGAAGAGATCAACTCAGATGAAACCAATGAGATATAGTGAAGGAACTTACCTATCAGGGAGGAGGAAGAAAGGAAACGAATCACTTGCCACCACCACCTGCAATTCGTCCAGAAATAGCAGCAGCAGCCCAGCTACAGAACTATCAGTGAACACAAACCCCCCAACAAAAGCAGAAGCGAAGTCCTGAACACAATAAAGTTACAGACAGCCGAGAAAGCAGCATGACCAGGTGGAATTCCTCCAGGAACACTGAAAACAGATGCAGAGACAACAATGGACATGCTCACACCAGCTTAAGAAGGAAAGGAAGGTACGTGCAGTTTGGAAGAGGGCTACCTCGCCAAACTCCCAAAGAAGGGAGACCTAAGGCTTTGCAAGAACTGATGAGGAATCATGCTGCTGTCCACTCCAGGCAGAATATTATGTCACATCATCCTGGAGAGACTGAAAATGCGTTAGATTTTAAATTACGACGGGAACAGGCTGGCTTCCTTCAGGAAAAACAAGTCATGTGCGGTTCAAATTGCAACGCTACGCATCATCTCATCATAGAACAGAGTATAGAATGGCAGTCAACTCTCTACCTCAACGACTAGTTTGGCGTGTGAGGATGACATGGAGGAGATGGTGTGAGGAAGAAATGAAAGCTTGTGGGCAGTCGTGGAGCCAGGTTCAAAAGACTGCATAGAACAGAGTGCAATGGAGACATGCTATTGAAGCTCTGTGTTCCACTAGGAACCCAAAGGACAAATAATAATAAGTTATTCTCTATCCTACTATTATCTTTCAAACAGAAACTAATATTAGATGCATCGAAGCCATGTTAAACCGCAAAAAACATGAAAAATGCTGTATTTAGGAAAGTGGCTAAATACTGAAGAGCACAATAAACCAAAGGTACAATGAAGAAAAACCACAAAGCGGCACGTAAAAAATCAAAATTCAAGAAGGACACTGATTATCATCAGCTCAGCCTGTAAACAATATCTTTCATCGAACTGTCGCTCTTAGTTCATCGTCTTCCAGGTAAACATCCTAAAACATTCACTGTTGAGCAGATGGTTTATTTCTAATCATTTAAATGTTCGTTATTGCAAGTATGAATGTTAGTTTCCAGTAGGAACACAACAGGAAATAGTTAAGTGTATAAATTTCAATGAAATGTCTGCAAAATGTCATTCCCCCCTAACTGCTTGGTAATAAAGAATACTCATAAAAAATCACTGAGTCATTTATCTAATCAGTTGGTTAAATGTCTTCTAGTTTTCCAGATAGGCAAAACATTCAAGAAGCGACGTACATTCAAATGTCAATTTTTTGTAAAAGTTTTTTTACCTATTATGTCGCTTGAACTATCTAAACGTCAATGGTTATGGTGATTAATAAACCGAATATTTGCATCATGCTACACAATATTTATCAATGAGCCATTGGTTTATGCTTTAGAAAGTGTAACAAGACCGGCACGATTGAAAGCACGCTTTTGTCGGGATACATGTCATGGATATTCGATCGTCCACGTGATGCGCGAATTCTTATTTTGTTGTTGATAATTTAGTAGTATAATAAAACAGAAGACAGCATAAAAACCACAAAGGCCAATAAATTAATCAGCCTAAACAGTGATCAAAGATAGCACGAAATATGTATAAATTATGTGAATGGAATAGTGATGAGTCATAGTGAAGTCTGAAATTCAGCTCACGGTTGTGACTGACCACGAAAAGTGTTCCATGGACAAATATATTGATGAATACGTTTTCAAATAATGTACTGTTCTAACCATAACCTAATAGATTTACGAAATAACTAGAAAACCTTAAGTTCTACAGGGATATTGAAAACGCTTCAGTATGAGACCCAAAAGTCTTTGTACAGCTTTTTACTGACTTACTGAATGACAGATGGTCTCAGTATTATTTTTACATCGTGGCTGTTGCAACGAATCCTTTTCTGTTACCTTAGTTTCGAAATGGGGTTTCGACTGTGATAACTAAAAGGCTCAAAGCAGTAAAACTGATACACTACACTTTTATGAGTAAATATTGTTCATTTCGTGTTTTATGTGAAAGAGTGTGGGTAGAACCTTAAAGCGGTAAGATACAAAATAACACATTTTAACCAAATTTAATGAAAATCGTGGATTTTAGAATAATGAGGATACCTTGAAATTCAAATTTGCATGCATACAACCTACTACAACTTCAACCACAAGAAACTACCTTATTTAACTCATGTTTGGAGAATCGTTCAGCTGAACTGTTACACGTGAGATCAGAGCAAGCTCTCGAACTTTGTCAATATACTAGTTGGATTTAGGTATTTCCTGTCTTCGTTGCGGATTTAGGATTTTGTTCTGCTCTGTTTTCCATCATCCAGTATATGTAAAATTGGCTCCCGATCGACTTTTTGTTACGCACCTGTATGATATTCATCCTAAATAGTTACCCTCACCTCTCCAGTGTTAATTTATCTCCCTCCTTCCTTCTTTCTTTCTCTCTCTCTTTTTATATATATGAGTAGTACATGTTTGCGACGTACATAATGTATGCCTGAACTATCACTCTTAACCAGCTGTTTTAAGAAATAAGGACTTCACAAGCATAAAATTGCATTGAATTCTACTATTTCAGAGCAGCATGTAAGTAACTTCAAAGGTGGAACAGTATTCTTTAGAGACTGTTAGTATTCACTACTACCCTTGAAGAAAATAGGCTTGAGAACAAGGAAGCGGTTGTTACTTGATGCAAATACATTTTGAAAAGCCAGAACTGTTGCACAACAACTTCGGATGCTGTCTGATACCCCAAATCCAGACAGATGTAGCAGGAAGTGAGATAGTCATCCCCTATCAAAAGGCTCAAAGCCTTAGACAAAGTACCGTAGTTATGCTGCAAAGTGCGTAGGCGACATATTTTTGATGCAGAATAAACATATGTTAATTTAGTTATTTATCACCTAGGATTCGCCAATTTACCAGTGAACCTATCATACTGGTATTTTTATCAACAGTTTAAGTATTACACATAAATATCGAATATATCTATCATAAGACGTATGGTATGTGAATAATTTTACCTGCCTAAGTGGTAAGCTTAGATTTCATGCTTTTTTTCTCGAATAAATGAATAAACTAAAAAGGGAGACTCATTACAAATAAAAGGATGAATCGCTGATAGTTTTTATGCAGCACGGATGGGACTAATTTCTTCAGTGCCGACTCAAGATGTCGTCAATATTAAAGAAACCATATTGACTTTTAATCAGACAACCCTACCATCAAAATGAAATATTTTTTTCATTCGTAAAACAGCCCACAATACAATTGGTCAGTGTCGTGCAATGTATCAGGGATTTTATATCCGGCAGCTGCATGCAGAAAAGGGTTTGTTGTGATAGGAGAATAGTGATTAAATCCATAGAACCGACTGTTTTTTTAAATCTGTCTTGTTAAAAAACTATGTTATGAGTCGAAACGTTATACCTTTAAGTAAATACACACGTTTTTATATTCATGTACTTAGTATACAAGCTGGCTGTAGTAAATCAGAAACATGTTGCAAGGCAGTTTAACAAAATCACTAAGTGTTAAGCAACTGATAACACTGATTTACTCACAACCATTACGCAACAAAATTAGTGTGCATAATGCTGAATTTAAAATTAACGTTTCTAACTAAATATGTATGCTTATGAAGAGAGATTAGATATTTCTCACAATTAAATTTTTTCATTAGCTGCTTAGTTAACTGTAAGATCTTTCCCATTGACAGACTTTATTTGTGTCACTAGAATTCTTTTCTCTGTGCTGTAGAGTTGAAAAAAACAACTTTCGAAAAAATGATTTAAGCAGACAATAAGTTTTATATTGTTTTTTGTCTTTTATCTGTCATAGTAATTCTTAATATTCGATATTCAAGGGACTGTATGCAAGAAAAGTGAAATTTGTTATCAGATAATAACCTAAGTTGGTTACACCACTGTAAGAAACACTCCCAGTATCAGAAGGTAGCAGTTTGAGAGGTGAATAGTTTTCAGTTTAATTTAGTAAATTCATATCTAGTTACAAAATAAGACAGTTAGAAGATGTTAGCTTAGTTCATTAATTAAACAACATAATTTGGTTGAACGACTCCAAGGTTTGTATTTCAGAGAAAATTTTAATTTAAGCTAAGGTCTACCGTAAGCTGTGAATTGCTGTAGTTTATTTACGCAAAGTATTTCCAAATGTGTTGTGAATTGGCCTATGAAAGGAATTCTAGCTCTTGATTTCTCTTTTCCTTGTGGTCTTTCATTTTGTAACATATGCAAGTGTCATCACCAGTACACACCTTTTCGTCGTGTCCTACGTATGTGTTTCTATTTTGTCTGAACTTATTCCTTAGAAATCATAAAAATCCGCCCACTTTTGCCTTCTGTAGGTGTCGTACGCTCGGCCAAGATCAGAATCAATAAAAGGAGCCAACTTATATGTTTCTGGTCTTTCTAAATCAATGTCTCAGCAACAACTGGAAGAGCTGTTTAGTTCGTGTGGTAAAATTATTTCGTCGCGCATTTTACACGATAGTAATACTGGTGAGTTGCATTTATACTGTCCCAGTTTTTTTTGTTTAACTGTTTGTAAAGTGAACATCAAAATTAATGTTAGCTCCGCTTAGATTCAACATTTGCACAAACAACAAGGAGCATGAGGAATGACATGCAAAAATTATTCCGTAATCAATCTTACTTCAAGTTAGCTAATATAATAAATAATGCATGATTTCTTTTGATATTTTCTTGTTTTATGTTCACCAGCTTGATATTCTCGCCTGATTTATGATTGACAGTACATAAGAACTTTGAAATTATGAAAAAGATTTGTGGCTCAGAATGTGGGATTTACGGTCGTGGCAAAGTCAATGGATTATTAAAGATACATTTAATAAGAGGCCATGACAAGTTCATAAAACTTTAGAGAAGTTGAGAAACAAATCAAGAAACGGAATAAAAAATAACAAAATCTCTACATGACGCTTCTCTGCTTTTTATCCGAGAAGGTACAAAACAAGTGGAAACAAAATTCAATGCGACTAAATAAAGCCTTTGATGAAAGGAGAGGCAGTACGTATTTTTTTTGAACGCTTAGTTAATTACTTAATCTGTAGATGGTAAACACTTCGTTTGAATACAAATGTCTCATCCTCACGCCTTTTAACCTATGCATTTGGACTCTGAAGCCAATTATGAACAGTCTTATGAAAGAAATTAGATAAACTAGTTTTTCTCTGAAATAATACGCCATTCTTCCATGCACTTTACATAAACTTATATAATTATACTATTGATGGTGGTAACTACTATTGCACTGGTGAAGAAATTTGTACTAAGGTTAGTGGAATTTAGGAGTTAACTGTTTTTACAGTCTCAGTCACTTCACTGAGTTTACTGATGATTACGTTTTAGTGAACATGAAGGTTTGTTGACATTTACGTGGAAAGTAATTGGAAAACATGAAGTACAAAATTCCTGTTCCCATTAGTATTGTTTATCGCTCAGCAGTACAACCATGACATACCTACATGACTAACTAGCAGGTATATATTTTGAATAGATACGTGAAACATGGAATTATTTGGGCGATGAGTATTTTTTGGAGATCCAGTCAAAGATGTTTCTGTATTTGAAGATGAATGTCATGAACCTCATCCCTAGCATTTTCACTTAGTAAATTCATAAGTAGCTTTGAGATGATATGATACACCTCTCTGCTTTTTTGAAGGTTTCTTGATATCGTTTTGACGTATGTCGCTATACATTATATTTTTGTATTCCACTTCAAACCTGAGAACAATTATTAAAAACATATTCTTTCACAGTATTTGAACAATGTATTCATGTTATTTACATTTTAGCAACAATTTATAACACTTTTATCATCTCATTGATAAAATGACAGTTGGTTTCAAACATATATCACGATTTCAATAAAAAGTTCCTCTTATTACGATTTATTGATGTAATTCTCCGTTTTTTTTATTGGGTTGAATTGTTCGACCTGTATTGGCATATGAGCTCCTATGTGGATGACTCGATATTGCCTAAGTGTTTTATTGATGGTATTTTGGTTGGTTACAGTTAGCAGAAGAATCTAGGACGCACACTTCGCCCTATTTGAGACTCGTCAGAGGTCAAACAATTCGATCTGTTAAAAAGACTGAGGATTACAAGTATATCAATAAGTAGTAGTAACTACTACTCGTTGTACAAGAAGTGGCTGTCGTTCCTCTGTGACATAGGCGATAATGCCTTAGCGTTTGAAGCTATGGGTATGAGGTTCGAGTCTTAGTGGGAACAACATTACTCACTGGGGTGCAGTTACATCCAGTTGTCGAGTCCTATATAGGACGAAACGCGCCTCCTGGATTCCTCTGGTAGCCACAACCAACAAAAAGTACCTCTTAGTTATAATTTATCACTCGTGCTTATATTTTCTTGTAAAATTTCGTCTTTTTGACCTAACATTTTCCATGTATAAGTATTCTTTTAGTTTATACGACACATTGTATTTGTGATTTCAATATAGTTTTTCGCTTTCATACCTTGTCGTATTTGAAAGCTAACTTGTACAATACTGCACCAATAGATGCAGGTCACTAAGTTAGTGGCACATTGTGCACTTGGAGGAATACAGCGTGTAGATGACTTTTACTTAACGGTGCATGTATTAGACTATCATATAAAATGATTTCATAAAAGCGGCTAGAATAGTAACAAGTCATAATAGTCACCAACCGTAGAAGAATACTAGTGTACATACCTTAACTAAAGTAAGTGAGATAATATCATTCTGGTATTCAATGTGAAACTAGACACCACTCTAGTTTTTAGCTTTCATATATAAGATTCTCGAATTATTCTGAAGCTTTATTTTCTTGCACGAATGGGAATAAATAGCTGGCGTAACTGATTGTATTTCGTAGTTATTCGAAAATGTTATTTCTATTACAGTTCCATGTCCTCATTTATATCCTACTAAGAGGCATTTAAGGAATGATCAATTTCAGGCCTAAAGGTTGTATACATATCGATCAATATGTTGTCTGCATCTTATAGGTAGGCTACCTGTGCTTTATATGGCATCAACCTAGGTATCGTCAGGTTTCCAAAAACCTTGCAGAAATTAGGCTGTTGGGTTGAAAGGCAAGAGTTAAGATTTTATAATCAAGTCGCTTAGCAACAACATAAAAGTTGATGGCAAGCTTCTGGCTGCTATGAAATTTTCAGGCAAAAGTCGGAACAGCCATCCATAGGGTAGTTAATATCTTTCAGTGAATCCTTTCTCACTGTCACAGTTCATAAGAATAGATGAACGTGATGATGCGTTCACCTCGTCTAAACACCACTCAAACAGCTATCAAAAACTGCCTTACATATCATGTTTAGTTGAAACATTTACTCAGAAAAACTATGGGAGTAATATTTCAACTACTTATAAGTAGAACTATTGCAATAAGTTGAACAGTGGTTTGTGAAATTAATTATTTGAAACTTCATGCATTAGATGTACTACTTTCTGACCTGCGGATAAAAGCAACTTTTGATATAATTGACTAGTTCTTTGTAGTGAGTTGACGGAAGTAGAAATGTGCGAGTTATGGGGTTCTAACACAATGAGTGCTTGGTAACATGAAGATCACCTTACGTGATGATCCTGTACTCAATTAGTCGCAGATTGCAAATACTCTTTGCCAGATTATCCTAAACCGATATGAAACAACTTTGCATTTATCCTCAGTTTCCAATGATGATTCAACCAGTACTAATCAACACTGAAAGCTACCATGAAATCAGCCAGTCGCTACATACCGTGAGTTAAATTATCAGCTATATGGGTTAGTGAAGGAATAGTTGTATAATGACAACAGGGAGATCAGTTCTAGGACAAGCAATTCTGAATGTTACATATTCAAGAAATTGTCTGTAGAAATAAAGTAAATGAATAACAGTAAAAGAAGTAAATATCAAAATTTTCGTTAAGAGTAATTATGCAGATGATAAAATGTATCATTTAACGCTAGATGGTCAAAATCAACTACATTAGATAACTATAATAGTAATTGATTATCAAAGGCATTTACTTTTATGATACTGAATAATGAGAATCAAATTTTAAAATGAGTTCCATTCACTTAAGTCTGTTCATTAGAAATCTCACACAGTGAAACAGCATCATTTACTAATAAACGTTTCAGACACAATTTATTGTTGTCCATATTCATATCAGGCAACTCCACAACTTTGGGAAACAGTTTATATAGTTCTAATTTACTTTCCTTCTTTATAACAAGTGTAGTAGAATTTTCCATATATCTGGTACAGGTGCAGAACCATTTCTATGACATATTTGGGGTTTATTCGATAAACAAATATTCAGTTATCAACCTCTCCATAAACCCAACCAAGGTACCTTGCAATACTGTTGCTCCATACCAACCCATTGTGTGGTTATGTGTAATTGCGTGAATAGCTGTGGATGAGCTTTTTATAAATTTCTTATCTGATTAGGATCTAATAATCTTGACTTAGCTAAGTTTCCGTGCTCTGTTATATTGAATGACCCTGGTCGACTACTTTGACCAATGTATTTGACCTCTCAAACATTGCTAAGGATTTGATAAACTAAATTATTTAGCCTAAATGGATCAACAGGATCTTCAAGCCTACAAAGTTTGCTTCCCAGAGAATTTGAATGCCACTTTAATCCCAGCCTTGCTGAGAAATCTTCGTAACGCTTCTGAGGTGCCTTCTCCGTACGGTAGCAAAAGAAATTAGACACGTTGCGTCTCAATAATTACCCACCCTGATATTACAAATAAATTCACAAGAAATCGAAAGAAAAATACTAAAAATAAATGACGCAGGTGTTAATAATAATAATTTTACTTGAAATGGTAAAATGTTGACAGAGTTGAGAAAGAAAAGCTACCCTTGTCACAAAGAAGGAAAGAAAATTAGGACTATATAAACTGTTTCCCAAAGTTGTGGAGTTGCCTGATATGAATATGGACAACAATAAATTGTGTCTGAAACGTTTATCAGTAAATGATGCTGTTTCACTGTGTGAGATTTCTAATAAACAGACTATAATAAAGTTACAATCTACCACGGTGCCCAAGTTTTACTCTTATATGAGTGTGTGTGAGTAAAGCGTAGCAGAATTTAGGGTGCTTTTTGTATGAATGCTGTTTTATACTTGCTTATAGAAGTGGATAAGCAAAGATAGTCTAATACAAAATGACAGAAATGGATAAATCTTATGATTGTGATTGCATAGGTGCGAACACTGTGAAAGCTCACATTTCATACAAATGACAAACCAGGATCATTAGGAATTTTCAACCTCCGCACGTATCCAATACATTATTAATGGCAGTACCTGACTCCTTTTTTCACTCGGGTTATTGTTTAGGTCGGATAGCTAAACCTCATGTTATTTGAAGTGTTGCATGTCTAATGGCTTCTGAAAATTTATTCGGGGCACGAAAAATAACACTAAATAATCACGGCATGTTTAGTTAAGGTGAGTTAATACT